GGTTCTTTGAAAAGATCAACAAAATCGATAAACCGTTGGCCAAACTGACAAAAGAAAAACAGAAGAAGAAGCAAATAACCCGGATAAGAAATGAGACGGGTGATATGACAACAGACCCAACTGAAATTAAAAGAACCATAACATAATACTATGAATAATTGCACTCTAACAAATTTGAAAACCTAGAGAAAATGGACAAATTTCTAAAAACATACTATCTAACTAACACAAACAGAGGTAGAATAACTAAATAAACCCATAACAAAAGAAGAGATTGAAAAGGTAATTAAAAAGCTCCCAACAAAAAAAGCCCAGGTCTGGACAGTTTCACTGGAGAAATTCTACCAAACTTTCAAAGAATTAACACCACTACTAGTAAAGGTATTTCGGAGCACTGAAAAGGATGGAATGCTTCCTAACTCATTCTACGAAGCCAGCATAACCCTGATACCAAAACCAGATAAAGACACCACAAAAAAGAAACTTACAGACCAATATCCTTCATGACCATAGACGTAAAAATCCTCAACAAAATTCTAGCTAATTCAACGACATATCGAAAAAATAATTCACCATGACCAAGTGGGATGTGCGTCAGGGTTGCATCCTTTCACCATATCTATTCAATCTGTATGCTGAGCAAATAATCCGAGAAGCTGGACTATGTGAAGAAGAAAGGGGCATAAGTTTGGAGGAAGACTCATTAACAACCTGCGATATGCAATGACACAGCCTTGTTTGCTGAAAGTGAGAGGACTTGAAGCACTTACTGGTGAAGATCAAAGACCAGAGCCTTCAGTACGGATTAGACCTCAACATAAAGAAAACAAAAATCTTCACAACTGGACCAGTAAGCAACATCATGATAAACACAGAAAAGATTGAAGTTGTCAAGGATTCCATTTTACTTGGATTCACAATCAACACCCACGGAAGTAGCAGTCAGGAAATCAAAAGACGCACTGCGTTGAGCAAATCTGCTGCAAAAGACCTCTTTAAAGTGTTGAAAAGCAAAGATGTTACCTTGAAGACTAAGGTGCGCCTGACCCAAGCCATGGTATTTTCAATCGCATCATTATGCATGTGAAAAGCTGGACAATAAGTAAGGAAGATAGAAGAATAATTAATGCCTTTGAATTGTGGTGTTAGCCAAGAATATCAAATATACCATGGACTGCCAAAAGAACGAACAAAACTGTCTTGGAAGAAGTACAACCAGAATGCTCCTTAGAAGGAAGGATGGCGAAACTACATCTTACATACTTTAGACATGTGGTCAGGAGAGATCAGTCCCTATAGAAGGGCATCATGCTTGGTAAAGTACAGGGTCAGCGCAAAAGAGGAAGACCTTCAACAAGATGGAAGGACACAGTGGCTGCAACAATGAGCTCAAGCATAACAATGATTGTGAGCACGGCGCGGGACGGGGCAGTGTTGTGTTCTGTAGT